TTTAAAATTATATATTGAACTGGAATTTTCGAATGAATAAATAAACTCAATCATTAAATTTGAACAGAGAATAAGTAGTCATTCAGATTTGCATCTATTATTTTATTAAATCAAATTGAGCATTTTTATTTGAACTGACATTGGGCAAAGAACTTTCAATTTTATAGCTTTTTTATTTTTTATTTTTTCACAAAAAAATGAGAGGATCATCTTGACATTATACAAGGTGATTATAACTATAGAAAATCAATCATAAGGTATAATAATATGAAATATTATCGATTCATATGTATAGATGACTTTGAAAAACGACTCAAAATGTTTCTGAAATATTTATATTTGAATACTTTTATAAAATCATTTTACCATTTTTTTAAATGTTTTCCATATTACTTGCACAACTTTCTCTTTCAGTTTCAGGCAAAGTTGTTGGGGATAATTCGTACATGATTTATGATAAGGACGGAAGGGAGAATTATGAAATAATTAAAGAACCTTATACAAAAGTCAGAATAGATGGTGTTACAAAAAACATTAAAGAAGCCACTGATTTAGGCTACTCCGTTGAAATTTATAATGATGAAAATTCAGATTATGTTATTATTTCACAGACAATTACCAACAAAGGCTCAACGGAAAAGAAAATTGACCTTTGCACAGCATTGAATTTAAAAGATTCTATAGATAATGTTGAAGCATCATCCCTTACAAACTTTGGTTATTATCTTTGGTGGGATCAAACAAATGATCTGACACTAGTTCTGCAAAATCATCCTTGGGTTACAGATATCAGTGCCCAAGACTTTGGAATAGAACCTGAGCCAAGATTCTTCACGAACAATGAGAAAATTTTAGAATACGACTCTGGATTTCCTGAAATTCAATGGATCTCATTCTCATGGCTCAACAAGTATATCCAACCAGGAAAGTCTATCACACTTTCTTACATGTTTTATGAAGAGACATATCAACCGCCATTACTTAAACTTGATAAATCTCTGATTTCAGAAGAAACAGATTCCACTGAAGTAATTCAAGTAAAGGGAAGTTTTTATTTCTTAGTTGAACCATACACGGTAGAAGCAGGTTGGGAAATTCATGATTCAAAAGATAAGATAATCAAATATGGCAGCCTTGGCAAATTTACAGTTTCAGAAAAACAAACAAGTATGGATTTTGATGTGTCAATCACACCACCAACAGAACTTGGAAAGTACACATTATATGTTTACACATATACTAATGGTCTTGGCTCATTGCTTTATGAAGAATTCACAATTACAGTTGTTCCACCAAATTATAGACCAAAGTTATACATTGTTCCATCTGAATACCTATATTACATTCCAGATTCTGAAGTTTCTTTCTTGGCTTCAGTCTACGATCAAGATTCAGGTGATAAACCACTCACAGCAAAGGTTTTCTTCAACAATGCAGAAGTTGCAACACAAGAAGTTGCAAACAGCAAGATCTTAAGACATTCAAATTCAAAGTTCCAAAAGACACAGCAGCAGGTGAATATGAAGTCAAAGTCACAGCTACAGATGGCAAGAAGATTGGAACAAAGAAGTTCACAATCACAATCAAGAATAACACAGTTCTCACAATCTATTTCGAACCAAAACTTAATGCCACATACAACAAAGGCGACAAGGTCAACTTCACAGCTGTCATCAATGATCCAGATACAAACTTCGATAACAAGTTCACTGTTTCTCTGTTCTACAACGATAAAGTCAAGAAGACGATCACATCAACTAACGATGCAGGATTAGTCAGAGTTCCACTTGATTTCACCATCCCAACAACAGAAAAACAAACACAACAGCCGAAATCAAGATCGTAGTCACAACACCAACCGAATCCTCTGAAAAATTAACAAATATCAACATCTATCAAGATGTTATCGCAAGTGATTCTGCTAAAGGAATTCTTACAACAAAGAAGTTAAGCAAAGGAAGGCACTCATTGCCGTCCTCAGTGTCTTAGCAGTAATTGCAGTTCTTGTTGCCATTGTCGTTATTATTCTTTGGTTTAGAAAGTAAAAATCACGGATTTTTTTATTGTATTTATTAGGGAATTCATAGGATAAATTCATCAAATTACTTAATCACAATATTATCATGAGTAAAAAGTCTGAACGATGCAATGAAATCCGCACAATCAATTTTCTTCAACAATATTGAAGCATTCAAGGAAAAGTGGAGTATATATATACTGAATTTGATTCAGTTTCTTTTTATATGATGCTTTATTAGTAAATATTTCATAAAACATCTAAACTTTTATGCTTTACCGACTTTATTGGTATTTTTTATTATCATTTATATTTACTAACACCACATATTCACAATAACCATTTGGAAAACACACGAATATAATAGTTTTTAACTCTTTAATTTTCAAAATATAAAAAAATTTAGTCAAATTCCGTATAAATCAAACAAATCACCTCCAAATCATATTTATTAATAGTGATTAAAAGTAAAAGACAAAAATAGGTGTGTCAGATTTTTAATATCTTTTGAAACCAATTTTTCTCTACCGATTAAATAATGGATAAATTACAAATTCTAACATCCCAACTGCGGTGATGCTTATATTGAGATTCTTTTCAGAGGATTTTTTTTGCCTCTGGTTTTTGTAAAAATATTACCAAGCAGTTTTATAATGAATATTATTTTTGGAGTAAAAAGATTGAAAAGATTATTTGAATTTTCTGAGAAGGAATAAAAAATATTATTTATCAATTTTTGAAACAAAAAACTTTATTCAAATAATCGGAATAAGATACGCGGTCAGATCTATCTGTAACTTAGTAAATAATGGATTGAAATGAATTTTTTACTGAATAATTAAACTCAAAGATTATTTATGACAGCGATAATTAAATAAGGAGAAATTTCATAAAGATTAAGATATAGTGTTCTTATTTTTAGGTGCTTAAACATATATACTGCGTTTCATACATGCAATGACATTGGCAGAGAACTTTCAATTTAATTTTTTATTCTTTCACAAAAATATAAGAAATTCAAAACATTGAAAATTGAGAGGATCATCTTGACAAACTATAATATGATTTTAGCTATTGAAAACAGACTATAGTGCACAATGGTCTGAAATATTATCGATTCGTAAGTAAAGATGATTTTGAAAAACGACTAATAATACTTTTGAATTACTTTATTTTTTTTTGAATGCTTATTTTTGTAAAATCATATTATCATTTTTTTAAATGCTTTCCATATTACTTGCTCGATTTTCTCTTTCAGTATCAGCCAAATCCACTGGTAAGTATACATATATGCTCTATGATGATAGCGATTCTAAAACTGTCGAAATAATTGATAAACTTTGGACAAAAGTTAAAATTGATGGCGTTACAAAGAACATTGATGAAGCAACAGAAGTAGATTATGCAGTTGAAATAGAAAATCACCCTAATTTATTACATACACTTGTAAAACAGACAATTACAAACAAGGGTACTAAAGAACAGAAAATCGACCTTTGTACTGCCTTTAAATTCAGTGATATAGATAGTAAAGTTGATACAATAACTGTTCCAATGATCTTACAATCGTTCTCCAAAACCACCCATGGGTTTCAGATATAGGGTGTCCAAAGGTGTGTTTAGCACAAACCTGAATACTGCGAATAGAAATAAACAAGTTACATATATATAAAGTTTATTTAAATATAATCACCATTGGATTCAATCACGCGTTCGCAGCGATCGATCCAGGCTTGAAAGACACGCTTTAAATCATCATGAGAAAATTGCTCAAATTGCTCTCTTACAAAATTTTCAAGATCATCTGGACTCGCGAATTCGTGTCCTTCTGCTCTCTTTTTTAGCGTGCCGAATAAATAAAAGTCAGAGGGTGCAATATCAGGTGAATAAATTGGGTTTGGAACAACTTTGACATTGTTTTCCAACAAGTAATTCATTACCTTATGACTTTTGTGAACTCTTGAATTATCAAAATGAATTGCAAACTTTTGTTTTTGTTGTTTGGATTTCTCAAACTCATCAGAATTGATAATTTGAGTAAGAACATTGTCAATTAGATACTGAGCATTCATCGTATTAGGTTTTTGAAGAATATCAATTGCGATGATGCCATTCACGCCCCAAAAAACCGACAACATCATCATTGGTGTGTCAATTTTTTTCTTCGGGAATGTTTGCGGATTTTCATCCTTCGGGATCCACATGATTTTGGCTTCTGTTGCATATTGAAACCAAGACTCGTCCCTGTTACTAAAAAGCGAAACTTCTTGGATTGATACGCACCCAATATAGAGAGGAGCTCTTTCGAAGATTGGACTCTAGATTTTTTTTGAACTGAATTAAGGTTGTGCGGAACCCAACGTGTATACGCTAGTTTGTAGTTCAAATAATTGTGCAGATAATAACTGACTGTTGTACGTGGTATCTTTGTCATCTCCTCTATCCTTCTGAGTGATGCTCTTGGGTCTTCATCTAGCGCTTGAAGAATTGCTTTGATTTTTCTTTGATCCGGCGATTTTTTGTCATTTTTTATGATGGGCGCCTTTTTGTTCATGAAGTGATACATCCTAACATGATACGTTACAGTGGAATAGCTAGGAGCATCCATACCGAAGCATTTTACCAATGTCTAGTAGATTTTTTTACAGTCTTTGCATTTTTTTGCAAGAGCGAGGATGTTTTCTTTATGATTCATTAAAAAATGAAAAAAATCCCGCCAAAATTTCCCGCGAAACCGCCTCTTGTCTCAAAATTCATTTTATATCCCGGCATGGCGCCAAAATACAACATACTCATCATATACATATATTCATATTTTTTATTATATATTTATAATCAGCATATATCTCCTTTAATAGTCTCATATAGAGCGCTGTGCTAAACGCACCTTTGGACACCCTATATCAATGCCCAAGATTTCGGTTCAAATGATGAACCAAAGTTTTTCACAAACAATGAGGAATTCTTATATGCAACAGATGAAATGCCTACAATTCATTGGCTTTCATTTTCATGGCTTAACAGATACATTCAACCTGGCCAGTCAGTAACATTCATTTACATGATTTATGAAGGCGATTATCAGCCACCGTTTCTCTACCTTGACGAAGTTTTGCCAGATCAAGAAGCAGATATAACTGAAGATATACCAATTACTGGAGTCTTTGCATATATTATTCCAGGTGATCGTGTAGAAGCATATTGGCAATTTATCGATTCAGAAGGTAAAGTTGTCAAACAAGAGAGCCTTGGAGAATTTACTGTATCAATAGAACAGATGTTCATGGACTTTGATATCAAGATCAAACCACCTACAAAACTTGGCCAGTATATATTAAGAATTAATGCATATGCTGAAGGAACCGACTCCTTGGTCTATGTTGATTATCCATTTACTGCTGTCCATGCTAATTATAGACCAAAGTTGTATGTTCTTCCTCCTGAATATGTTTATTACATTTCAGATTCTGAAGTTTCTTTCTTGGCTTCAGCATATGATGAAGATTTAGGTGATAAACAACTCACAGCAAAGGTTTTCTTCAATAATGAAGAGGTTGCAACACAAGAAATTGCAAATAGCAAAGAACTAAAGACCATCAAATTCAAAGTTCCATCCAATACAGCAGCTGGGCAATATCAGGTTAAAGTTACAATTACTGATGGTAAAAAGATTGCCACAAAGAGATTTATCATTGTTATCCAAGATAATACAGTTCTCACAACTGCATTCGAACCACTAATCAACAAAACATACAATAAAGGTGATAAACTCAATTTCACAGCTGTTATCAATGCCCAGATACAAACTTTGATAACAAATTCAGTGTTTCACTCTTCTATAATGATAAAGTTAAGAAGACAATAGAATCATCTAATGAAGCAGGATTAGTTAGAGTCCCATTCGAATTAACGATCCCTAAAACTGAAACAAATACATCAGCAGAAATCAAGATTAAGGTCACAACACCAAATGAATCTGCCGAAAAATTTTCAACAATCACCATTCATCAAGATGCTGTTGCCACAGATTCTGCAAAGGGAATTCTTGCACAGAAGGAAGCTAAAAAGAAGAAAGCTCTTATTGCAGTTCTCTCTGTCTTAGCTGTCATTGCCGTTGTTGTTGCAGTAGTAGTTATTATTCTTTGGCTAAGAAAGTAAAAAATTACGGAATTTAAGTAAATTTATTTTCATTTATATTATGATTGAAATAATAATTATGAAAATATACAGTATATATTATGAAATTTGAGAGAAAGCTAAAATTTTCTTTAGATATGTTTTTTAATTAAAAATTATATTTCACAATAAGATAGTTATTTGTGATTAATATTGACTTAACGACTTCCCCATTTTGCAAACTTGTATTCCCAAAAATAATTGATATTATCTTAAAATCATGAAGAATACCACACAACAAAAATGTTCAACTCTTTATTAATAAAACACGAAAATTCCGCAAAATTTAAATTCCAGAGGATTTTGAAAAATGACTAATTCGCACATTTCTACATTTTGCAAATTTTTCGAATTATCTTTATAAATATTTCCAAAATATGATGACGTAAAAAATTAAAATGATTATTTTATTTCAGTTTTCTAAAAATACAAAGAGTTTATATAAATGCATTTTGAATAGCATTAAATCGGAGTATGTTTTACAGTCTAAACCGAAGGGAAAATATTTAGGGTTGTTAAAAATATCAAAAAAAAAAAAAAAAAAAAAAAGGTAGTGGGGCTTCCAGGCACTTCGTGCCTTCTAGCCCTGAAGATGTTTAGTATAAATGAAGTTCTTATATACGGGTCTTCCAGGAGCTTTTCACAAATTATATATGTTTTCATGTTTTGTCAAGACTTCTTCGTAATGAGTGTAAATGACCCAAAAATAATGTTTAGGGTAGAAGGTTAGATCTAACCTCTTTTCTAACCTCTTTTCTACCCTCTTGAATTTGTCAAGACTTCTTCGTACATGTTTTGTCAAGACTTCTTCGTAATGAGTGTAAATGACCCAAAAATAAAGTTTAGGTGAAGAGGTTAGATCTAACCTCTTTTCTAACCTCTTTTCTACCCTCTTGAATTTTCAAGACTTCTTCGTACATGCTTTGTCACTTTTCTGTCACTTTTCGAGTAAAAACATTTTTATTATTATATATAAATGAATTTTACAAAACCACCGTTACCGTTCTTTGGAAATAAGAGTAGATGTAAAGATATTATATTGAGAGAACTTAAGAAACTACCGAATGGTCTAACATTTGTAGATTTGTTCGGTGGAAGTTTCTATATATCCCATTTGTGCCATATAATATTCCCAGACTCAAAGATTATATGCAATGACTTCGACAACTATATGGACCGTCTCAAACATATACCAGACACAAACAATATATTGAAAGAGTTAAAAGAAAAGATACCTATAGGTAAGATGGAACGTATACCATTAGATAAGAAAAATATTGTGAGAGAGGTTTTGAAAAAAGCAGAATATATAGACTGGGATAGTATATCTGCTAGACTATTATATAGTGGTGCTATAAGAGTTCATGACATTGAAACACTTATGTCAAAAGTTTTATATCTTAACTATACAAATGTTTTCAAAGAGGACATAGAAAAATATATTGAGGGTATAGAGTTTGTGAGATGTCATTGGACAGAGTTGTATGAAAAATATAAAGACAAGGAAAATGTTTTCTTTATAGTGGACCCGCCGTTCTATAACACATGGGATTTTCAATACCAAGTAGACTGGACTTTGAGAGACTCTTTAGAAACTTTAGACGTTATACATAACCATCCATGCTTTTACTTTACATCCGATAAAAGTGGTTTGGAAACCGTTATGAGATGGTTAGAAGATATACATGACTATGAGTTTATATATGACAAGATAGAATATGAGAGAGGTCCTATAAACTGGAGAAAGTGTCATAACAAAGAAATTTTATTAGTAAGTAAATGTGGTTTGAAATAGGACTACTTGTTTTAGGTTTTTTCCATTGTGTCATTTATTTATTTGACGTGGCAGAAAAGTACAGAGAATATGAAGATGAACCAATGCCTGCAAATGTTCAGTATATGTACTCGTAAGAGATATTTTTATCTAATATTAAATGGACGCACAGAACTTAGCGAATGCACAGCAACCTGGACAACCAAACCCAGAGAATATTCCAAATGAAGTTAGAATACAAACTGCAATGGCAAACTATGGTCAAGTGCCAACAGATGTACAAATGCAAACTGCCATGTCAAATGACGCTGCGTTAGGTTTGCCACCATGGTATGCAAATATGAGATGGAAAGAGTTTTATACAAACCCTGAAGTGGGATATAAACAACTCTATGCAGATGACGCGAACACAGGAGTTGACCCAGAATATGTTTTCTACCAGAGGAGAAACAGAATGTATGAGCTCCAGTTAAAGAATGCTATGGAACTCAACAGGAAACGTAAGAGACTAGGTGGACATTAGATTTTTACATATAGTAAAATGGGTTTCTTCAGTAGTATTGGAAACTTCTTCAGAAGAGTTGGAAGAGGTATATGGAATGGAATAAAATCTGTCGGAAGAGGAGTATGGAACGGTGTCAAAAATATTGGTAAAAGAGTAGGTCAGTTCGTTGGTATTATACCTAAAGACCCTGAACCAGAAGAGCAAGCTCCTGTTATACAACAGCCTGAACCTGCACCACAGTCTAGTTGGCAACCTCAACCGTATTAAAAAATTATATTTTTACCGTTCGATAGTAGTTGTATATGAAACTAAGTTCTAAGTAAAACGCATGGTATAATGGAATTATTCTTTTTCTTCCATCTGTAGTAAACCATACTTGAAAGTCTGAAATACTTCCACTTGGTGGTTCGTATAACTTTGTAGGTTTTTCGTAAAAGTCATTTGCCAAGCATAAGAAAGAGTTTTGGGCGCCAGAAAATGAAGCATGAACAATAATAGCAGCTGGGTCGAAAACATTTTCATATGTTCCATTAGGGTTTTCGACTTCATAATAGTCCGGGTGTACTGGATATGCTGCAGGCTGATTTAACATCCTCATAAATCTATACCATGCCAAGTTGTTATATTTTGTAGAAATATAAACGTTTTCTCCAAGGTCTTCTATTCTATTGATTTTAACAGTTGCATTTTTCCTGTCATAAATAATATCGAGATGGTATTCTCCCTCGTCAATGTTATACTGGTTTGCATATTCGATATAGATATCGTTTATTTTTTCTTGAAAAGCTTGAAGAGTTGTTTCTAAGTTTACAAGCAAACTAACTTGTAAAAGTTTTCCCTGTTCAAATTTCTCATACATACGTTTTTCTTTGTTATAGTATCGAACTTCAAAACCGACCGTAAATGGGAAACCATGTATGGCTTCTGAAATGAACTTCATTCTACGAAAGCCAATAGCTTTTGTGACGGATGGGTCTCTTAACCATCTTAATGGGTAGTCAAAACGATAGCCTTCATGCTTTACGGTATCTGTCTCAAACTTTTGACCGACATTAGTAAAAAGTTCATCTAATGGTTTAGTTGTAGCAACTCTTGAATTTTCTTTTTCTATTGGAAGCATATTTTATCTATAATAAAAATGTCGAAAGATATTGCTTCCATGAGAGAAATACAACACAACCGACAACTCATTATACAAGCTCTAAATAAGAACACAACAAACTTTTCAAACTATTCTAAGATATCTGAGTCATTGAAAGAAGGAAACTTAAAACTGACATTAAACCCAATGACAGATGAGTTTCTGTTTCAAGACAATAAGAACCATACTGTCTGTATAAATCCAACAAAAGGAACTTTAAACGAGAAACCTATAAATGAACTTCTTTTGAAAGCAGATGTTGACAACAAAGCTGACAAAGAATATGTAGACGATGCAATAGCAAAAGAAGAAGAAAGAGCTAACAATGCTTATGCAACAAAAGAACATACTCATCCTGAACTAGCAGACAAAACATATGTTGACAATAAAATGTCAAGTGAAGTGACAAGAGCTGAAAACGAATATTCTAAAAAGACTCATACACATTCTATATCTGAAATAACAGACTTAAACGTTAGCCTTGAAAATAAAGCGGATAAGGACTGTGTGGCTGCTGCGTTAGAGAAGAAAGCGGATAAGGAATATGTGGATGAAAAAGATAAAGAAATTATAGAAAGGGTTGAATGGTACCATGAACGGACAACAAAGATTTTAAAAACTAAAGCCGATACAGGATGGGTTTCAGGATGTTTAGACCTTAAAGCGGATAAAACTTATGTTAACGATGAGTTAGAGAAGAAAGCAGATAAGACTCATACACATACAAGTTTTACAACTGTTGCTATAGAAAGTATTGAAGGAACGGTTGAAGAAACTGGTGGGGATGCATTATATTGTAAACCTCCTAACTTTCCACAAGGTTTAACATCGGATGACGACATAACGACGATGAAAAACATTAGATGTAAAGATGTTTATGTCATGAAGGATGAACATAATATTAAATTCACTGCTCAAGATTTATATGACAAGAAAGCAGACAAAACAGAGCTTCAA